GTGAGAACCTATTACACCCTGGCAGGCAGCCACTGAACCTTATTTACAGAAAATTGCACGTTTTTTCCAATCTTAACAAGTAACAAGAAGCCTATCAAAACTAGAAGTGGAAGGAATAATGTACTCTCTCTCTCACACACACACACATGCACACACACACAAATATATATATATTTCTTCGAACAGATGTTGCTTAAATCCCCAACAATATTGGATACTCATTCCCATGGTCAAAGGGACAAAGAAGGGCTTGAGTGCAACTGCAGTTTGGACGCGTTTTTCTGCTGCACAGAGTGTGAGAGAAGGAGAATGAGCGCTCGAGTCCTGACTTCTTTGACCCGAATGCTGGCTTTCTTACCAGGTTCAACATCCGAGTCAAAATTCAGATTTTGTGAAGCCCAGAATAATCGCCCGCTCTGCACACTTGGCAAGCCTGGTGCCTGGTGATTACAGGCAGGCAGGGTGAAGAGCGTTGTGTGGTCAGGCAGCCATGCCATCATGCAGCTGGTTGCTGGTGTGGAGGAGTGTATCCATGCGCTTGGAGATGCAATTCTACCTCTGAAGCGCCGAGTACCAACAGCACAATGACCACGCGGGACATCACTTTACATTATAGATCAAGAAGGAATCTTGCAAACTGCCCATGGAGATCAAGCATTTACAGCAAGTGACTCCATAAATAATCATCCATAAAAATGGTCATTCACTGATGTAGAAATAAGATGTAAATGTAAAAATACTGTGTACAACACTGGCATGTGCGATCTTAATGGATAGTTTACACCCTGAACCTGACACAGGACTAAAGAGATGTTAAGAGACGTTGAAGTGAGAACCCACAGATACAGGGACATTTCTAATCCAGAAACCAGCCCTTTTGGGTGGTCACATTATTGGAAGCTGTGTATGTACCCAGGTTAACTGAAATCCCCACTGGTAGGACTCCTGCGTCACCACCAAAGGCTAGAAGTTGTCTGTTCTGTGTTCATCCTGCTTTTTCAGCTTGCTCCATTACCATCTTCAGAAATCAATCCTTAATATCGCTGATTTTAACTATAGCTGCATATTTTGTCACACAAGCTACACTGAAGAAGAAACAAATACCAGCAGCTTAAAACATCTAAGTCTACCTCAAAGTTATTCCATTTTTTTTCAAGCAAAAGAGACCCGTACAACTGATAGACACATGAGATATGACCATCCCTTTAGTATTAACCACAGACAGTGAAAGAAATATACAGTAACTTACTACAATAGTGTGAGGCATCCTTTCATGGATTGTACTGCTAAACCAATTAAAGTCAATCAAGCACAAAGGCACTAAACAGCTTGTCCTTGTAAAGAGGAAAGGAAAACAAAACTATTTTAGAGAAAAACATACTCCTTTGGGGTATGAAGTTGTTGAAAGACTGATTTGTAAGAGAGAAAGAAATATTTTCTGGCAAATTGAAATCCTTCCATTCATTCCCTCAGTCCACACTCATTCATCAAAAAAAAAACTGGGACTTATATTAAAGTGTGACAGATTAGTGTTCCCCAGTACATTGGTAAAACACATAAATACATACACACACATAGAAAAAAAGTTATTTGAGTGTCTTGTAAGGAATGATTACAGTGCTTTCAAAGAGTTTTGATTTGCACGTCTCTGGAGAATAATTGTCCTGGCTTTGCACTGAGCACAGTGATATGGAATCCCTGTCTGTTCGCTGTGGATGTTTTTAAAGAAGACGGAAAATCCCAGCTGCACTTGGTGCAAGCAAATCAACAGAGAACAAGAAGAAAAACTCCCGAAGGATAATTGACTGGAGCAGATGCCCTGTGTTTTCCCTGAAATGCCAGGGAATGTGGACTTTTTTCAGGGCCGGAGAGGGAATGTCGTGCGCAGCCATAGGCTCTGGGAGCGGTCTGTGAAAGCAGTGCCGAGTTGTGAGAGCCTGGGAAGAAGGGCGCTCGTGTCCCCACAGTAAGGCCCTGACAGTGGCGGATGTGTTTGCCATCAGAATATGGAATGGGCCCTTATCAGTGTGAGCCTGTGCGATTGGACTGGGCCGGGTGGTACCTGCTGGGCCTCCCATGCTACTGAATGGCTCAGCAGGAGCGGTGGCACTGTGGCTCAAGATCTGCGCCTGTGGCTGCAAGGTTGCCGGTTCAAATCCCGCAGCCGGCAGAGGAATCCTACTCTGTTGGGCCCCTGAGCAAGGCCCTTAACCCCAACTGCTCCAGGGGCGCTGTATAAATGGCTGACCCTGTGCTCTGACCCCAAGCTTCTCTCCCTGTCTGTGTGTCCCATGGAGAGCAAGTTGGGGTATGCGAAAAGACGAATACCAAATACAAGAAATTGTATATGGCTAATAAAGTGATCTTATCTTATCCAGCAGGTACCACCCTACTTCCACAGTCTGATCACTGGGTGATCTGGCGCAGATGGGGCTGGCACATGCTGGGGTTGAGCCATGAGCTGCCAGAGCCTTTGCTGCTCTGTTCTTCTACCCCACTGCCGATGACTGCCACTGCCAGTCTGGGGAAAGTGTACCTCCGGCACTGCATCTCTACCTTAACACATCACTCTCAAGTAAAGTAAGGGAATTGCTTTCACTTCTCTCCAATTACTATTGAATCCACACCTCTTCCTAATGTGTGTAATGGTGATGCAGGAGGCCGATATATCATTGTGTACTATTTGTATTCTATATTAAGGAAGGCAGTCCTTCATAAATTCATACAAGAAATATTTCTTTAAAAGCCTTGTTTTTTCCCCTTACGTGATTTTCCTCCATTGCAAACTGCAGCATTGTTGCTTTTAAAAATTTGAATTTAATTTACATTTTGCCACATGTCCATTTATATTGGTTTGTTAAATTGCAGAAATAAACCACTTATTTCGATCAGACTTTTTACTTCTGACACACAAATACGACAATTCACCAACAACAGAAATGAGGCATTCATCTAAGAATCTATGAGGTCTCTTTAAAAAAATTATCCTTTTGTTGTCTACATGGTGGCCTGATAAACCATCATATAAAACCGGAAAGGTTTTTTTTAGCACGCATAGGATGTACAGAGAGAGCTATTTTTACAGCAGGCATTAAATACTCACATTAATAAAAAAAGCCATCCATGTTCCTGATATTTATGCAGGTTTGCACGGAGAGCATTAGTACTTAAAGCCCTTCCACTATGATTAACAATCAAACATGCTGTGAAATGCCTGTGTTATCCCCCCAACTCTCAAGTACAAGAGAAAATCTCTTTTTTGTAATCAAATCCTTAATTCTTTCTTCTCTCGAGAAAAAGAGAGAGTAATACCAGAATGTTTCCAATCTGCTTTGAGAAATATTTGGAAAAAAAAGGCTCCCAATAAAATACGTGTGAACGAGGGGGTAATTGCGGACAAATGCAGCATTGAAATTCATTTTCAACTCTTTACACACCATTTCAATCTTATTTTCTGCTTGTTAGCTAGATCTTGTTGCTTAGGGTGGGCAGGACTGCCCAGTATCGGTGGGTAATTGCATATAATTTACTCTTCACCAGTGATTTGCATCAATACCAGTCATTTTTTATTCAGTGGTATTTAAGAATCAACCCCTACCAGAAAGTCTAATTTTGAATGCTTATTATTCAAGGTGCCCAGAAAGCATAACATGTGGAATCCCCTCTTTGCTCAAACACACAGACACGAAGACACAGACTCAGCAATTGCATTTTTTTACAACAGAAAAGAACTGCTCGGCGATATACGAATCTAATGCCTCCCGTTGATTTATACTCCAAATAGGACACCAAGACATCAAATTATATTCATTTTTCTCTGCTATTTCTTTTCAGGAAAGAGGGACAGGGAGCTCGGAGGGATGCACTTCATGTCTAAATCGGCTGTACCTGCACTGGAAAGTCACCTTGCTGAAGGTGGCCATGAAGTTATAGGATTTAGAGCCCTCAGTTATTGTACTGAAAATTCATCAGGGTCCAGAATCCAACTTCATTACAGTCTCTGTGGACAGAACAGTTGTGAAGACTGATGTTTAATGGTGCTGAACGGCTACCTTCAGTAACTAAAACATTACCAGAAAGAAGTGCTTGTTTGCTGCCTATGTTATTTTAGAAGACATACAGTAGTTGACACTGTACAGCAGGGTTTGCACACTGACTCTGGAATTCTCCTCTATTTAACAGAAGGATCTAACCATAATCTGAGGGAATTTAGATCTACAGGTTTTTCAAAAGCCTCCAATGCAACACAATGACTCCCAGACACCCAATGTCAAGTGGAACTGTATCTACAGACATTTTTGCAATATTGCTCATGACAAAATATTGTATCCTGCTTCGGTTTCCTACAGGGTTTTTACATGCCTTATTTAGCATTTTGACATTCAAATATTTACATTTTTGTCTTAGTTTGACCCATTTTACGTTTAGCATTGGCAAGAACTATGTATGATTTTGTAAAAGTAACATAAGGATTCCTTTTCGTTTGCTTCATCCTACTTCTGATAGTTAAGGTTGATTTGTGCAAAATCAAATTATTTTATCAGCCATCCAATGAAACAAGAAATGTAGAAATATATACAATGAAGGCTGAAGTGCCTTCTTCGTAATAGTTTTAATGGAACAGATTCTAAAGGGAGACTTCAGTTACAGAACTTGGTCACTGAGTGTCACTGTGCCACAAGAATCCTTAGGACTAAGGACTGGGGCCACCAGGAGCCTGTCTTCAAAGTGTAGGGCTCACTCTGGACCAGATGCTAGCTCATTGCAGGGTACACACAGAGGCAATGGAAAGACACACATTAACCTCGCCAGTATGTCATCGGAAGAAGGGTTCTAACTGGAGCACACGACAAAAACCCCTGCAGAACCCTACACAGAAGGCATCAAAAGATCATCCTAGGACACTCAAGTGGTGTTGAAAACACAGATTTAGCAGGGGAGAAGAAGGGCATTCAGCCACCCAGCTCTTTTTGCGCCCATACCGGCCACCCCTCACTGACCTGTGGAGAAAGCCCGTTGCTGACCGGGTTCATGTGGTTACTGGACGCTGACGGGCTCATGAAGGTGTCCGAGTAGCTGGAGAAGCTGTGGCGGTTGGACGAGAGGCCGTAGGCGGAGCTGCTGTCGGCCGTGAGCCCGCCCTGGTGCATGGTGGAGGGGGGGAGCGGCTGGGGCCGGTGAACTGTGCTGCTGCCATCTGTAGGAACACGCCGGGCGTTAGTGTGACTACGAGCACGGCAGACAGCGCTGAGAGCCCTGAGCTCCCGCACACTTCTCACAGGCCCTAGGAACCTCTGGGGATTTAGATTGAAAAAGATTTTATTCATGGAAAGTTGACCAGAACGAGAAACAAGGACGTCCCCCACCATCGCCACGAGCTTGAGTGGCACCTCCTACCACGTTTTCAACAGAAGTCCTGAAAATAATCCGCTATGATAGAAACACCCTCCAATCAGGATTTGGCTGTGTAGGCAGCAGAACTCCAATTACAATTAAAATGAAAGAACAAGAAGAGCAGAGATGTAATCAACAATGAGTGAAGGGAAAGGCCACATTCAGGCCTCACTGGTCCTAAACACATGGGAAACCATTAGTTCTTTAAGGACTATTGACACATGCTATTTCATTGATATACATTAAATTCACTCTTTAGATAGACACAAAATTCAATGTCCATTCAATTTCTTTGTTAAATAACATAGTGAATAGATGGCAGTTGCCATCTTTCTTCATGAAACACAAAATTGTGCAGCGCTACTACTGCATACAATTCACACTCGTTAACCGGATGTAAACCACTGTGAAAATATCTCTACATTTCAATTAGTCACTCAGTTATAGGAGTGTCCTGAGGGAATGTGTGAAATATTCTCAAACAAAAGGGCTTTTTGTATTATATCAGAATTCTATTTGCAGACCGGACGTAGCTTTTCATACGGGACGAGGGAAGATACCATTCCCTTTTAGTGTGCATAGAAGTAGACGTTGTCACTCAATGATCTGTTTACTTCATTGCCAGACACAAGCACAAGAAGAATCCAGGAACATTCCTGATATTGGTACTTACAGGAAGACACTAGACACACGTGATAGCGACAGAAGATGGCCTACCCTGTGATATTGTGGTGGTGGGATAGGTAGACTCAGGAAGTTGATACGTTGGCAGAGTGGGCATTCCAGTGGGCGGGAACCCGCCAGGTAACAGGTGATTGAAAGCAGCCAGCTGATTGGCTCCTGCTTGCTTGCGCCACCTGGCTCGTCGGTTGCTGAACCACACCTGGAGACAGAAAACAAACATGACCCTCAGCTATACTGTCCACCCCCAAGAAAACCAAACAGACATGAAAAATAATGAGTCGTCTTGAGCCATTAAACCCTAAACGTGAGTTTCTAAAAATTCTAAAAGCATAATGAACAGGACAACAATGATCAAGATGTGTTTTTAGTTTTCTTCTAGCCTTAAAACAGTTTTTTTTTCTTCTCTATTATCCATGCAGCCATCTGCAATCAATCTCTCTCTCACTTTGAGTGGGCTGTTAAAATGCCTAATCCCTCCTGAAAACTGCAAGTTAACACAGTGGCCAAAGATGGTTGTTCTTCTTAAGAGGCTGCAGCTCTGTGATCTGTGTAAACAGTGTCCCTTAATCCTCAGTCAGAAAGGAAAAGTAATTAAAAGGTCAGAGATAGACAAGACCTCTTGGTACAGACATCTCAAGTATGTTTGTGAACCTGTTGTACACTTTGTAAGAAGGGATGTAACCGGGGCAGAGGCTGAGGGATGGGTGCTGTGGTGTTTGTACCCTCTGTTTCCACTGCATCAGAGATCTTCATATATTTCACTGGTTATCTGAATTCAATTGGGAAGTAACCTACTGCTGGTCACAGAGCAAACCTCTTCCAAAGCCGTGTGCTTTGAACACTCTTCATTGTAGGCCTACAAGTGGAGCAGTCAATGCTCAAAGGACTAATTAAGAAACTGCACATATCGTCAAACTGAAACTGCACTGGAAGCATGGCATTCAGCTGTGACCACAGCTCAGGTTTCACACCCAAAGAAGGCTCCACAGCTGAAACGTTGTGTTTCTTTTCTTCTCTTTTCAGCATGGAATAAACCTTCACTTGTTCCTTTGCAGCCTACACATGCTGACGCAGCCACCTACTTGAGCTACTTATATCTATTGAAGTCTTTTCTTATTCAATACATTTTAAAACACATGACAGTGACTTTAATAAGACAGTATAGGCACCAGAAATGAACAGTGTGTTTGGTTTATACTTTACTTCAGTTGATGAAAAATGAGCAACCAAGGTGCCTAAAATAGATTTTGTGTGCCTTACAGTAATAATTACTTTCTAAAATTTAGAAATCTGAAATCTAACCAAACGTTCTTTGACAGAAAAGTACAAAATAAAACTGTCACTTTTACAGTTGACCCAAACCTTTTTAATTTTATAAAATAAAATTGGCAATATAATTATTCTGTTTTTTATATAATTAATGTATTTTTCTGCTTAACATGAACATAATCTGTATTCACAACCTGCTTTATTTCACCAAAACCAGGCTGTGGCCTTCAGCTTGCAAAAGGTTGAGAGACATTGATCTGTGCCTCGGAGTGGCGCTTAGTCAGAGTTTAATACACTGTTACTGCAGTTAATCTACAGTTGTTTTTCAAATGGGCCGGCCATTGTGTGGGGGTATGATAAAGAGCAACAATAGCCCTTCAATGGGCTGGGGTAAACAGTGAGCACAAAGGGTGGGCGTCCTTTTTAAACAGCTCTTCAAGAGCCATGCTTTCAGAGAGAGAACTGATCAAGAGTTAGCGCAGGCACTCGGGCCCACGCATACACACACACACAAGTGCGTGCACACACACACACATACAATACATAAATATTCGAGAGATTCTGATCGAGATGTTCTGCACAAAATTCAAAGAAGTGCAATCCTGGTTATTAATATCCTCTCATTTGAAGCTCCTGAGCATCTGAAATTTCCCAAGGCAGTGCATTCAGAGAACATGAAAAAAAGAAATTTCTGTGAAGTGCATTCTGTTCTAACTCTTTAAATAAACTTTCTCAAATAAATTGTGCACTGACCACAATTATATATATATATTGCAATCAGTCAAGATAATTGATATGAATTTACACCACTCTCTTTTATGTATTTGTGTATGATATTTAAGAAACCATCTCAATGTCTGTATAATAACACAGAAGACAGGAGTCTTACCCACGATCAAATCCCAACAGGTCTACAATTTGCTCTGTTTTTTTCCCAAAAAGATTTGGTGCCTTTCTGATTTGTCGTGTGTCTCTTCCCCCACCACTCCTGCTCCCTCTCCCCAGGAGGAAGTGTCTGTTATTGGGATGTCTGGGAGAATGATGGCAGGTTTGTGTGAGAGGAGGACTGCGTCGAAGTGTGGAGATCTCCAGCTGGGCACAGACAAACAGCAGCCCAGCCCAGAGGCATTTTTCTGCTGCTGCATCAGAGTAAACTGCTCTTCCTTCCACTCCACACAGACAGAGAGCTTTCCTTGGCCAGCCCAGTGGGACCCCTCACCTCTGAACTCTGAACCCCACCCCCAGCCCCACCCCTCCTTTATTGTCAGACCCATTTCCTTCCCTTCCTCAGCGCAGAAAGAAAGAAAAGGCAGAAAGAAAATGAAAAAAAACAGAAACAAAATGCTGCAGGCACAAGTTGCCCTCTTCAACTCCACGGGAAACTAATTGTTTGGATTGCTGGTGTTCCACTGCAGCAAAAGAGCACAAAACACAAAAAAACAAACCTACACACACTGAGAACTGCTTTGCTGAAACTAAACTATGCTCCACATTTACACGAGGAACTCATAATCTTTTTGTGGAGTTTTAAGCCTCCTACAGTAACATAAACTTTACTCCAGTTTTCCAGTGCTGCACTAACAAAAAATCATCAGTATTTCCCTCCAGCTGTTAGGACAACTGAGAAAGGTTTTACTTCTGTAATGCCACCTTGCTTCAACAGTGACGTTTAGCATTCAACCTTTTACAAGAGCATATCAGTGACAGTTTTTTATTGCACAGAACTGACAGAGGCTTTTAAACAATGTGGTAATGTCTGAACAGACAGGCTTATAAAATACCCAAGGGCACTATGCAATCACAATTAAAAGTAGCCAGTTTGGGGCATAATGTTTATATATCCACACAGAATTGTTAACACTGTAGTCTTCAGAGACTAAAGGATAGAAACAGTTTGGTCCTGCCAAGTGTATGATGCACACTGGTCTATGTGTACAATATAACAAGCTTTCTGCTTTCTACACTGGAATATGTGATCCAAGTCTGGTTTGATGACACTGTCTCCATTGAGCACACATGTAATTTCCACAGCCTAGTTTAGTTCTCTCTCACAGGTTACTGCTCACTTCATCTTACAGTGCCTAGTACAGTTTATGCAAATCAAGTGAACAAAAACTAATTGATAAAAAAATAATTTTCCATCTATAAAGCGCCTGCTTTAGGAAGAGATGTTTTATTATTGTGGAGGTTAAATCACAGACAGACATTCTAGAAACCAAAGCTCTGCTTTGAGAACGCAGTTCCAGGCTCTAGTAAGTGAAGTTTGACACCTGACACCAAAACCAAAACCCCCCAAAAAAAGTTTACCACCTTTCAAAGATACAGGACATTGTAACAGGAATGGAACAAGAAACGGTACTTTGGAGAGATGGAGGGTGTTACAAATAAATAAAAGAATCACACAAAATAAGAGCTGGTGGTGCGTGTTCAATATTTCCGTGGAGCGGAGCGTACGAAATCAGAAAAGCTCAGGCAGCTGAGAGGAGATCCTAGGACAGTAACCTCCCTGAGCCTTCTTCTCTCATTTGTTATCAATCACACAGGCCTATCATTTTTTCTCTTTCTTTCCAGTTGGAAGACACCGGCTATATGTCTTCCTAGGATTACTGCTACAGCGCGGAGGGGGGAATGGCTGGGAGACAGACGATGAGGAGTAAAACCTGGATAACGTGATTGAATTTCACAGCAAAAAAGTAGAACATAACAGAGCCTGAGAGGCGTAAAAGAGACCGACATCAATCTCTCAGCTTCTTCATGGCCGGGCTCTGGGCTGGGGCTGCTGGGGGGGGGTCTTGACCATCCTGACTGGGGAAGTCAGAGAGGGGCTCTGGACCCAGATGGTCCCTTCAGAGACATTGGAGATCTCTGAAACTGGATAATATAAGTAAGCGCTTTGAGTGGATTGTCCAGAAAAGCGCTATAAAGGTGTAAGGAATAATAAAAAAATAATAATTATTATTAACAATAATTCTTTACCTTAAATCAGTTTCAGAATTTGCATGTTTTGTTGGGAAAAGAGAAAAACGGAGCTTCCAGAATGAGACTTGAAGTTTTTAGGGAAAATTAAAATTACTCAAATAAACTGACACCCAGATATTTCACAGAAAGGGGAGTGAAACTATTTTCAGAGCATACAGTCATGCCTCCTTTACATGAGCTAGATGCTCTCCAGTGACAGAAAACATCTCTTGTTTTGAATAAGTCCTACAAAGACTGAAAGATTTACTTTATTACGGAATGATTTTACAGTGTGCCCCACCGAATGAAATATTTTGTTAAAAAAGGTATACAAATTGCTCATTACAACAATTATTCTAAGAAACGGTGTCAGGGTTTGGATTCTCTCCTACAAAGGACTTCTTTCTTACATGATTGCACTCAATCTACTGCTGTCGGTTGAGACTGTAGGTTGCTGAGTTACAAGAATGGTATGTCTAACAGCAAATCTTATTTTAAAACCGTCAGAGTTTTGAAAAGTTTAAAACTAGTACTAGCAGCAGTTTTAAAGCTGTAAAATCCGACTGTTTTACAGGCTAGAAGAGACCACACTCTCTAGACTATGGTAGGGCATTAAGCTGGCTTTCATTGAAGGTTCCTGCACACAAAGATAGTGGCCACAAGTCGCCACAACTCAGCCCAGCTGGTGTGAGAACGATCCTCACTCATCATAACCAGGCAGCCAGCAAGCCAGTCTCTGTGTCGTCTGCCTGGCACTATGCTAATTAAAGTTGCTGGAAGTAAGAGTATTGGGTAGGATTAGCTAGATAAGCATCGGGAATAAAGAGAGACTAAAAGAAATTCATTTAAATTCTAATAATAAGACTCTCTGTAGGAACACTTGCACAAATGCATTGCAACTATTTCTTGTCTGCAATCTACATAAAATCCCATTTGTTCCATTATGGCCCTCAAAACACATGACTCCCAGGA